ATCTCCTGTCTGCCACCCCTGCCATGGTACCTTCCTCGGGGCAAGTGTTGACAGTCTGCAGTGTTAGCACATTCATGGGTTCACCTGTTCCTGGCCTCCAAGTCACTACCTTTCCTCCCTTCTGAATTCTTAACCTGTCAAACCATTAAGCTATCTGTCCCCTTCTTTAGAGAGGTTTCTATTTCTCATGCGCATTTGTATTTGCGGCATCTACACACGAGGGCCAGACATCTGGACCAGCCTTGTGGAGCTTTCACTTCAAGGCAAAGAATTATACGGTAGTTAAATGCCATGTATATAAGATTACATTTTAAGAAACCGGAGGTGTGAACACCAGATAATGAAATGAAGAATGACAGCGTGATGGGGAGGGTGGGGATGTGCATCCCAACTGAGCTCGTCGGGATGCTCCTGTACATCCTAACTCAACTTGTCCAGGAGCTGCTGGAGGCCACAGGAAGTTATCTCAGTCAGTGTTCTATTGCTGTGAAGAGACACCGAGACCACAGGAAAACATTTAATCAGGGCTTGCCTACAGGTCAGCGTTTTAGTCCATTATCATCGTGATGGGAAGCATGGTGAGTGCAGACATGGCTGGAGAGGGGTTGAGAGTTCTTTAGGCAGAAGGAAGGAAGAGTGAGACATTCAGCCTGTCTTGAGCATCTAAAGCCTCAAAGCCCACCCCCCCAGTTCTACACTTCCTCCAACAAGATCACATCTACTCCAACAAGGCCACACCTCCTAATAGTGTCACTCGCCATGAGCCTGTGAAGGCCATTTTCATTCAAATCACTACAGAAGGTCTGCAGACAGCCTAGAACTGAGTCTTACAGATAAGCTCCCAGACAGAGGGTCTCCCCAACTGCTAGATGGGTGCAGCCAGAGGGTGGACATGGCACCGTGGGTACACAGAAGGTGGTGCCCCCAGCCCCAGAGCCAGGAAGGGATTTTGGACAAAGAAGTTAGGGTGAGGGCTGGTTTGCAGGCTGCTGGGCTGGGAGTAGGAAAATGAGGAAGAGGATTCCTGAGGAGGAGAGAGCTAGAGACTGAAGGTGCCACGGGAGGAGCCTCACCTCAGGATCCAAGCACCGCCTTTTAAGAGCCAGGAAGAGGGCTGTGGGTCTCTCAGAGGTCAAGTGCTTGCCTAGCATGACCAAGTCCCTGGGTTCCATCCCCAACACTGCAAAAACAAACAGGCAGGAAAAAAAATCTTCTTGAGACTGGCCTGGAGCAGGTCCAGCCTGCAGCTGTCAGCTTGGATATGGGGGAAAGGGGGGCTTTCAGCTTCCCACCAAACAGGGCTCAGCTTCCGGGTCTGGGAAGAGGACCTTGTAAAGGACAGATGCTTGCTGCTAACCGAGGGTGTCAGTGTGGCCCAGCTGCAGAGCACTCTCTTGACATATCTAATGCTGGCCCAGCCTGACACCTACAGCACAGGCTGCAAACGCTTGGGGGAGATGCCTGCAAAGGGAAAACAAGCTGCCTCGCCTGTAGAAGTTAGAGAACAGAGAAGTGCAGAACCTGCTGCTATCTTTTCCAGACCTCTTCCTCCATCTGCCCTGCATCCTGCCCCACTGTCCAGCATCCTCACCCAGCCTCAGGCTGGCATTGAGAAACATTCCCAGTGCTATCTCTGCCACAGACACCTAGATCCACCTTTGGAGGCCCACTCTTCTGTGCCTCAGTGTCCTCTCTTGTGAACTGAGATAATGCTGCCTACCCAGAGAGAGTCTTAGGGCCAGAGAAATGCACAGGCGGCCGTCAGCACATCCCAGATATCATCTCACATAAGACATTCACGTTGACTGAGAAGAGTCAGGGAAAGCCCAGTGCACTTGGGACCCAGCACCCTCTCTGCCCTGCCTTGACACTTGTGGGACCCAGAATGATGTCTCTATCCCCTCATTGTGGCTTTTCTGGGACAGATACCCACCACAGCTGCCTCTGAACATGGTTGTACAATAACCAGTCCCCTTACACTCTCAAAATGTCCGAGTGGAAGACATTCACTCAGATGGCCATGACAGTGCCACCCTCAAGGGCTTGGATGAGAACAAACATAGAAGTGTGCCTCTGGGGATCTTCCCACACTTCCTGCCCTTAGCAACGATAGGCAGAGATCTGACTCCTAGGAGAGGACAGTCATGCAGACATTAGAGCCATTGAGCAACAACGGTATGCCATAGAATCTGAGGAAAGTCCATTCTCCTGTCAGCTGGAGAGCCAGTTAGTGTCAGCTCCACAATAAATTACCCTGTTGAGCCTCTGCCCCACCCAGGTCCCAGACGTGCTCCTCACCACATGACCTGCCAGCCCACCTGGTGTCAGTCTGCACTGGTTCTGCAGGAGTAGACTAATTTAGCAATTTGGGATTAGTCACAGCTGGATAGCTTTCCTCTCTAAGCATTTAGGAGTTGATTAAGCTGAGATCCCACCTGGGTGATAGGGCCTGCTTGGCTGACTCTGCAAATGTCCCTGATATTCTGCTGTAAAGCTGGGACGGGACAGTAGGTCATCCTGAGTGTCACAGCTCGTAAACCTTTGTCCCCGTGTTAACTGGAAGATGAGCCCCACCCCAGCCATGATGGGAGCTTTTTCTGATAGACTTTGTTTCATACCTGATTGATCACCATTAAAATGTAGAGGACCCCAATCTTTTTTTTTAATATTTTATTTATTGTGTATACAGTCTTCTGCTTGCACACCAGCGGAGGGCACCAGATCTCATTCAAGGTGGCTGTGAGCCACCATGTGGTTGCCGGGAATTGAACTCAGGTCCTCTGGAGGAACAGTCAGTGCTCTTAACCTCTGAGCCATCTCTCCAGCCCGAGGACCCCAATCTTTAATTAGAACGTGTGGGGCCAGTTTGAGCTCTCATGGTGCATTTCTCTGAAGACATCAACAGCTTCCTTCTTGGACAGGAGGTTATAAGGGGCATTGTCCCAGCCTGAGCATCACTTTGGAGGGATGAGCAGAGAGCTCCGTGAGAATGAAAAACATGTTAATTGGCAGTGGGGAGGAGAATACTGTTTCTCCGCATGATTGATCTATGCAAATCCAAGTTAGTATTACTCTACCTTAGTGATGAAAGAGGGAGCCATAAAGCTCTTGCCAATATTTCCCATATCAGTTGTGAATGCTGGGCCTTAGCTTATGCTTGTCACACTAGCTCTTATAACTTATTTTAACCTGTTTCTCTTCATCTACATTTTGTCTGGGGGCTTTTTTTTACCTTTCTTTCATTTTGAATATTCTACTCCATGTTTGACTGACTGGCAGCTGCCTGGTTGGCTGGCCCTGGGTGTCTCCCTCTTTTTCTCCCTCATTCTTGTCTTTTCTTCCCCCCTTTCCCCCCTGTCTCTCTGTCTGTCTCTCTGTCTCTGTCTCTGTCTCTGTCTCTGTCTGTCTCTCTCTCTCCACACACACACACACACACACACCTAGATTCCTCCTCCTCCTCTTCCTCTTCCTCCTTAGTCTCTCTGCCCACCAGTCCAACTAACCCTCTACTGCCTCACTGTTGGTCATTAAGTTTTTTATTAGACCAATCAGGTGCCTTAGGCAGGCAAGGTAAAACAGCAACACATCTATACATAATTAAACAAATGCAGAATAAGCGAATGGAACACACCTTTACTTAGTTAAAGTAATAGTCCACAACAAACCCCCACCCCACACATACACCAGCGTTCTCAACTGCTTGCTTCCTGCTGATGTCCCTGCCTGACTCCCCAGTCTCCCTCCAACTGACCCTCCATTGCAATAGCCCTTCAAGATGGGCTTGTGTGGGCCACCTGCCTGGCTGCACTGCCCTGTAGTGTGCCCCTGTGGCAGCCTGCCCAAAGGATCATGGGCTATTGTTGGTATTTTTCATCGTTCTGATGAATTACTAGAGGAAGCTATTTTTTTTAGATTTGTATTTATTTATTATGTATACAACATTCTGCCTCCATGTATGCCTGCATGCCAGAAGTGGGCACCAGATCTCATTATAGATGTTGCTGGGAATTGAACTCAGGACCTCAGGAAGAGCAATCATGGCTCTTAACTTATAAGCCATCTCTCCAGCCCCTGGAGGAATCCATTTTTAAGATCATTTTGGCTTACAGTTTCACAGGTCACAGCAGATTTTCTGGGCCTGATATAGGGTATAGTACCATGATTGATGGGCAGAGCTGCTCACTCCGGGACAGACAGGAAGCAGAGAGAGAGGAAGTGGTCAGCAAACATGCCTGTCTTTCTAGGTCATGACTCTGGTGAAGGTGGAACACCATGGTGAGAGGATTGATAGAGCAGAGGAGAGAGAGAGAGAGAGAGAGAGAGAGAGAGAGAGAGAGAGAGAGAGAGAGAGAGAGAGAGAGATATGCCAGCGATGCCATGTATCTTTTCAGGGCATGCCTCCCCTTCCTCTAATACCATCAAGGGATTAATCTATTGATTAAGTTAGAGTGCTTGTGGACCAGTCACATTTCAGGATTACACCCACCAGTTAGGGGCCAAACCTTATCTGTGAGCCTTTTGGGTGACTCTTCATATGCAAATCCTAAGTGTTCTAGTTTAAAGACCGAGTCTAAAGTCAGGCTAGTGCAAATGCTGTAAGCACTTGTAAGGTGGTGAGGCTGAGCAACGAGCAGGCAGCAGATGTGCAATAAATGCATTTTAGCCCTAGATAGGAGCATGACCCCACTGTGAATGGAGCTGCATCTGTATCTCATCAATGTGTGTTGCCTTACACATCACTTGTGTCCATGCAATTCAAGGTTTGTGCTGGATCTCAGCTGGGGCCCTAGTGCTCTTTCAACTAGGCCAGAGAAATGTTTGTGTCTCTGGAGCCCAAGGCTGAGGGCTGCTAAGGGCTCCAACCCTCCCTCATGGAGGTACAGCTACTCCTGCCAAGACAGTATCCTCACTTCACGGTGGTCCAGCACCTGGTTATAGAGGTAGTGTGGTGGATGAGGTCTACGTAGGGGTTCATTCCTGTCCTGGCTCTCCCCTCACAGGTGGGATCCCATTCATCCTGACTGGAGAGTTCTTCCAGCAGTCAGAGAGGCCGGCAGCCTTCATTATCGCAGGCACAGTCAACTGGCTCTCCAACTTCGCTGTGGGGCTCCTTTTCCCCTTCATCCAGGTATGCCTGACAAAGGGCCTCCTGCCATCACATCGCCTGGGGACTCTGAGATGTGGTGAAATCTGTCTGGTTGCAATGGGATGGGTGTTTCTCCCTCTGCCTCTGCCTCCCCACCCCTCTCTCCCCTGCCTCTCTCTTTGTCTCAACTCATACTGTTGTCCCAAGGAAGGAAGGATATGCACTTTGACTAAGATCATCTTCTCTCCCTCCTGTCTCTCCCTCCTCCCTCTTCCCTCCCTTCCCCACCTTCTTCCTCCTCCCTCCTCCTTCCTGTCCCTGCCTCCCATCCCTTTCCCCCTCTCTATCCCTCCTCCCTCCTGTCCCTTCTAGGAGCTGGCCCCAGATGCTATGGACTGCCTCCTTAAGAATGGGTCACTTATTGCTGAGTGTGTGTAGAGATCCTATATTGTGTCTTGAACTTATGACCACTCTTGCAAATGTGCTCACCACAGCGTCAGACAAACCTAATAGAAATGTTGCGGTATGTGTCCTACCTACACTCTTAGCCTCCCAAGGAAAACAGTGATTGGTAGGAAAATGCCAACATGTTCCAGAACCAGATGCAAATTTTTTGGGGTTTGCAGTGTTTGGGGCAACAAAAATGAGTGGGCCCCAGTCTGTGGTTCTGGGGCACATAACTGTTAGAGATGGGGTTCTGAAGCATATGGGCTTCTGGAGATGTGTTTCTGCGGTATGTGGGCTGTTGGGGGTGTGGTGGTCCTCAAAGGCTTCTCAAAGAAAGTAGCATTGGAGTAGAGACATGAGAAAAATAAGGAGCAGGAGCAGGGGAGTCTGGAAGTACAAAGTGCAGGCTAGCATCAGAGCAGTGTAAAAGCCCTGCAGCTGGCTCGTGCTTGGCCGGGGCGGGAAACAGTGTACAGGCCAATGCTGGCTCGTGCTTGGCCGGGGCGGGAAACAGTGTACAGGCCAATGCAGCTGCAGCAGGGCAAGGCAGGGGATCGCTGAGTGGAAAATGAAATTATCCACAGGTCAGAGCGTGAAAGACAAGGACTGTGCAAGGATTCTCCACGGATAGAGGGCCCAGAGCACTCAGTCAGAAGGTGAAACATCCCTAATCCAGCACCCTCCAGAGCTCCCCGATGCCCATAACACAGGTGTGTCCACCTAGAGAAGGCAAGACTATATATCACATACCTCCAAAAAGGGCCTGTCATCTCTTCTCAATACCATCATCCTCCCTGACCCACTATTCAAACCACTGCTTAGTGCCAGCCTGGCATGCCTCAGCAATCCTAGTACCAACCAGGTGAACAAAAAGGCCCTGTCCCCAGCCCACCATGCTCAGACTCAACACAGCTGCAGACCTGTGGGACAGTCACTTCTCTCACAGCTGCAAACCAGTTCCTCTGTGCCACAGGCCCCAGGTCTGGCTTTATGTCCATGTCATCTTCCATGGCCCTCAGCCAGACTTACTCCTGACCCTCTTACAGGCAAGCCCACTGAAGGCAGGCAACAGGTGGTCTTCCCAGGCTTCACAGCACCCACCAAGCCCAGCTCCCCTGACTGCTTCTCTTTGTGGTGGCCTGCCATGCACTGTGGACTCCTCAACCCAACAGCTGGAAGGCATGTGCACCATCTAGCCTCCATCTTTGGCTGCATTTAAGCAACGGCTCCCCGTCTCACAATACTACAAGCCCCTCAAGGGCCACAGGGTACAGAGGGACCCATGCTTTGTACTCTCCTCCTTGGGGTCTCTTGCCAGCTGCAGCCAGGACACAACAAGCTGCTTTTTCATTTGGGCTCTTCCTGCTTGGTTAAAAGCTAGCAGGCAAAGCCTGGGGTCAGTAAAGTATCCGCTACATGGAGAAAATTAACTTCAAGTTACCTGCTGGTTCTCTTTCCTTCACGGCTGAGCCTTCATGGGCTCAGGGTATACTCGCTGGGTCCTGAGGATGAGCAGAGTAGATCTTATAGACACTGCAGACCTGATGCCATCCTGCCAGGCTGGGATGAGAAGCATTCACTGGCACGTTCACTCAAACATCTATTGAGCACTTGCCATGTGTCAGCAAATGCTCAACCCTGCCAGTACCAGGAGGACAGCCGCCAGCCCTTCTGAGAGACTCCCAAGGTCATCCCCACTAGGCATGCCAGAGCCAGACTCTGAGCACAAGTTCTTCACCCTCACCTGTACGACAAGGGGAGAAAGGAGGCTGTTGTTATCTGGCAGATTTAATTTATCCAAAAAAAAACTACACATGGATACAGATAAAGGTTTACACAGAGAGTCATTCCTCGGTGTCTTCTCAGGGCTCTGTGATGAGTGTGTGTGTATGTGTGTGTGTGTGTGTGTGTGAGAGAGAGAGAGAGAGAGAGAGAGAGAGAGAGAGAGAGAGAGAGAGTGCGTGTGTGTACATGTACCTCAAACATGTGCATAGGTCAGGGAACAATTTTCAAGAATCTGTCTCAAGTTAGATCTAGTATCTTCTGCATGCTTCAGGGCAGGTTGGTGCTGGTCTGTGTGGGGTGCTTAATGAGCAGGGAAACTGAGGATGAGTGCTCACAACTTACAGGCAGAGAGCCTGGGCTTGCTTGTCAGCTCTGCTGCTCTCGGGCAATGTGCCCCTGGTTCCTCAGTCTTCAGACCTCACTGTGTGTCAAGAACAATAGCAGAATCTACTCACTGGGCTCTTATGAGGATCCGAGGTGCAGTGCAGGGAAATCATCCTTAGGAAGGGGATAAGGTTGGTGGATAAAGTGCTTGCTGCGCAAGAAAGAGGTCCTGAGTTCAAATCCCAAGCACTCATGCAAAATATCTGGGTGCAGAGACACATGCCCGTAGTCTTTGTGCTGGAGAGGAGGAAATGGAGAGATCCTTGAGGCTTGCTGATCAGTCTATCCAAATCAGGAAATTCTAGGTTGAGTGAGAGACCCTGTTTCAAAATATAGCTTGCAGAGTGACTAAAGAGGACATACCTCAACCCCTGGATTCAATGTGCACACACACACACACACACACACACACACACAAATAATAAAATAAAAATTAAAACAAATAAAATTTAAAAAGCGTCATTACATTTGACAGACCGCAGCTTAAGCCAGGCCATGGGTGGGGTGGGTTCAGGGTGACAGACAATCTTAGGGAATAGGATGACATGGGCTCTGAGGAGTTCAGGTAGCAAGGCAGATCACAGACCCGAAGGATGGTGTGTATGTGTGTCCCCGAGGCTGCTGTAATTACAGCACGCACTTGATGCCGTGTTTTAATGGGACATGTCTCCTCCAAGCTTCATGCTAAAGTTTGGTTCCCAGTTGTGCTGCTCAGATTTTTGTCACAGTGAAAATTCCTGAGAGGAAGTGGTGGTCTCTTTTAGCTCACAGTTCACCATTCCCATCCATCAACAGCTAACTCTATTACCACGATCAGAGAATCATGGCTCTGAGGACTTGGTGAGGTAAAGTAGTTCACATAGCTGTGTCTGGGGAGCACAGAAGAGACAGGAAGGAGCTGAGGACAAGATAAATATTCCTAGGCTCACACCCAGTGGTGCACTTCCTCTAACTCAGCCCCGTGTCCCACACTTCCATCACCTCCAACAGTTCACTCACATGATGACTCCACCAGAGGACAGATTCACTTAAGAAGGTCTTGTGGTCCAACTACTTCCCAAAAGGTCTTGGAATGCTGCTGCATAAGGGGCAAGACACATGAGCCTGTTGAGGGGAGACCTCATCTCCAAACCAGACTATAAAACGGTGTTGAAGCCTTTCATGGGTTTCAGAAGGCTCCAACTCGTGAAGATGTCAATGCTGTTCTCAGGGGAGTCATCTCAGAGCAGGACGTTTTAGCTGTGAGCTCAACTCCCGTCTTCTCTCTTCCCGGGTAGCTGATGTCCTATGGCTGTCATCTTGTGTGATGTGTATCGCCACCTCTCCCATGTAAAGACAATGACACATAGAGCCCATCCATGTAATCCAGGGCCTCCCTTTCATAACTGGAACTTTATCACACGCATGCAACCCCACACCTCCCACTTTTTTTAAAGGGCAAGATTTACAACATAGGCCTGGATCTTTGAAGACCATTATATGAATGGCTGTTCATAGAAGTGAGGTGGGTTTTAGGAGCAGGGGATGGACATGTGATTGGAAACTCTCATCCCTAGATTAGCACACATAGGACCAGGAGAAGTCATGTGAGCCCAGTTCTGAGTGACTGAATACCTGGCCAATCATCACCCAGGAAATGACTAGAATGGGCTTGCTAGTTGTGGGAGACACACTTTCTAACTCAGCATCCAACAACAGTCACTGCATGCATGCTGCCACTTCCTGTTCTCTATGCATTATGGGCAGATTCTGCTGGAACTTAAATGTCCTACTGAGGAATCCTCATTTGTTCCAGTAGACCAAAGGGATTCAATCCTGAAGGCCATGAGGTTCATCTAGGAGTTTAGGGTGTCTGATGGATACTGGAGAAGTACCCATCACATGTTCTGATGCAATGTGGAAGGGGTGAGATTGTCAATATGTGTCAAAACAGTGCAGACGATCTGAGCATGTTACCAAGGCTGGGCACCCACTGACATCTGGTAACCCATGAAGGATGGAAATCAGTGAGAATGCACAGAAAAGCATGTGGGTGTTTCTGGAAGACATCCTTTCAGATTCTCGGAAGCTGGATTGGAGTGAGAGACTGTGGGCGGGGAGACATGGTGTCTGGTAGTCTGCGGTTTACCAGGGATCCTGTGCTAAGGTCTGGGTAGGGAGGGTAGAAGGTGCCTGCAAGGACAAGGTGAGGGGCACGAGGCAGCACCTGCATGGAGATGCTCTTCCCTGGCTGAGCAGACAGCCAAGCTGGCAGCAGGCACTTTGCTTCCAGGCAGCTCCATACCCTGCTCTCCTCTTGCTTCAGCAAAAGCAATCTACTGTTGACCCTCAGCAGCCTTTCCTTCCGACTGGTGGTGGGACACAGGGCCTTTGAACTGGTCCAGTGGAAAGATTTGCATAATTGGAATGAGGCATCATCAAAGCAACAAAGGTCTTATCTGTAAGACAGTGGCTCCATCTGGCCACTTCTGAACAGAGCTCCCTCCCCGCAGAAGCCCGGCCTCCAAACTCAGCTGCTTCTCAGTCCTTCCTCGGTTACTCCAGTTAGCAGAAGTGCTGCCTCGTGACCTGCTTGTATCCCACAGGACAGGCATGGTTGTGACACGGGCTCTAGCAGCACAGGGGTTTCAGAATGATCAAGCCCCTCTTCCTTCCTGCACATAGTGAGGGTATTTTGTAGGTCAAATAGGTTGTGCCAAACTCGTAAACTGTTAACTCCTGCAAGTAATCAATGGAGACACAGGCACCAGCTCAGGTACATAGAGAGTTTAAGGCCAGCCGGGATGACACAAGATTTTGTTTAAAAGTACATGAGTGCACACACACACACACACACACACACACACAGAGAGAGAGAGAGAGAGAAATGAAGTAAAATTCCATAGATGGTGTAGATACAAACATATATATGAGTGGATAGATAGATAGATAGATAGATAGATAGATAGATAGATAGACAGACAGATAGATAGATCATAGATACATAAAAAGATGACATGTACATAGTCAGATAAAAAATTGATTTGGGTTTATTTATCAAAGACATACATGTAACTTTCTCCAGGATTAGGAGAATATTGTAGCACAAAAGAAATGAGAGCAGTAATCAAGACTAAAGATGAGAAAAACAAATAAATACAAACAAGAAGGGGTCTCAGCATGGACCAGATGTGCTAGTGCATCAAGAAATGGGGTGTATTGTAGGTTGAGGAGACGGTCAGTGGGTAAAGCACTTACCACACAGTGTGAGGACCTAAATTGAGATGCCCAGGTCCCCAATGCCCATGTAAAGATGAGCACTGCAGCGTACCTATAGTAATCCCAACACTCCAACAGTAAGATGGGAGGGCAGGTAGTCAAGTGAATCCCTGGAAGCTCGTGAGCCAGACAACCTGCTATACACATATACACTGCAGCAAACAGCGAAAGATTGTCTCAAACAAGGAGGAAGGCAAAGACTGGCACCTGAGGTGATCTCTGACTTCCACATAGCATGTGTGTGTGTGTTTGTGTGTGTGTGTGTGTGTGAGTGTGTGTGCATGTGCACACACAAATTAAAAGAAAAGGAAATGAGGAATATGGTTAATTCCATCCTATGTACTTGACGTTGGAGTGCAGTAGGAGACTGCAAAAGAGAACACTGAAGAAGTCTGCATGTAAATTTCCCACAACCTGAGCATCACTGCTGACAGCCAGAGACCAAAGGTGCCAATATCACCCAGCCCTGTGCCCGAGAGCCCGGCATACCAGGGACACTGCCTTGAGCATACAAGCATTTCACTGGCTGTCATTTTGCAGGAGCCCTCAGCCAATGTGTTATGTAGGTTATCTCATGAAACCTAGCACAGCCCTACAGGATATGAGTGGGCCCTGAAGACACTAGACCACAGGGAACATGCACTGATTGGCATTTATTTTTTCTCCTGCTTCTGTTCCTCCTCCTCCTCTTCCTTTGTTCCCAAGAAATTCTTAGGGAATTCAAATTGTAAATGATTCATGTTTGCTGTGGAAACTATGAAAATATAATGAATAGAAATGATCCAGACTAATGGCTTCTTTCCTTTCAAATATAAAATGTGGTCTGAATATGTGCAGGTGCATGTGTGAAGGCATGCACATGCGTGTGTGTATGTATGTGTCTGTGTATACGTATCTGTGTGTTTATATGTGTGTATCTCTGAGTATATTATGTGTGTATTTGTGTGTCTGTGTATGTCAGTGTGTCTGTGTGTCTCTGTGTGTTTGTGTATGTATGGGTATCTATATGTGTGTATATGTGTGTCTATGTGTATATGTGCCTCTTTGTGTGCATGTGTCTGTCTGTATGTGTGTATGTGTGTATTTCTGTGTGTATGTGTATATATCTCTGTGTGTGTCTGTAAATCTGCGTATGCTCTGTGTGCCTCTGTGTATGTATATGCATCTCTGTCTGTGTGTGTCTGTGTGTCTGTGTTTGTATGCATGTCTGTGTGTCTGTATGTGTATACACTTGTGTATTTGTTTGTTGTATGTGTGTGTGCCTGTGTGTGTGTGTCTGTGTGTGTGCATGTGTATGTTTTCTTGTTTGGAAAACACCGAGTGGATTGGAAGCCCATCTAGCTTGACCTCATAGTACCTCTCTAATACCTGAACTCATAGTACCTCTCTAATACCTGTAAAGACGGTTCTCAAGTGATCTCAAGTGATACCACATTCACAGACCATCAGTGTAGGCATTTTGGGTGAATTGGGTGGGACAAGTGGATCGGGTGGGACAGGTATTCTGGCACTCAGGAGTCACAGAATACTGAGTGTTACACAGCTCAAATGGAAAGGTATCCTGGAGCTCGGGAGCCAAGTACCACTACAGGTTGCAGTAAGATTAGTGGCTTATAGCCCTGCCTCAGGGAAAGGCTTCTCCAGACTATCAGCTCTGCTCCAAGAGGAGAGGGTCTTCCAGCTGGGGATGTTTGCCCAATGTAGCAGTTTTGCTCCGGCAGGAGAAGGTTTCCCAGGCGAAGTTGCTACAGTTCAGCTCTGCTCCGCTGAGTGTAACAACTTCCCTCTGTGAGGGCAACGTTTCCCTGGCAAAGGTGTTACAGCCCTGCTCACTCTTCTCTGCCCAGGGTCGCCTCTACTCCACCAAAAGAAGGTCTTCACCCAAACTCATGGAAGGGGTTTATTGGGAGGGAAGAATCTAGGAGAGTGGCAGAGGACAGCCAGGTAGCATGAACAGCCACAAGCTGAACAGACACAGGGTTTATATAGGGCTTCTTAGGGGGCGGAGTTTTCCAGGGTGGAGATTGATTAGATTGCAATCCCTGAGTTTAGATCTCCTGCTCAGGGATTGGTTAATTTTCTGCACATTAGGGTCAAATTTGACTCTGGTTTCAGAGCCAAAGTGTTTCTTTCTTTGGTCCTTTTTAATCTTTTGGCTCTAGTTTTAGGACCAGGGTGTATTTCTTTCACTGGCTCTGATTCCAGGGACAAAGTGTGTTTCTTTGGCATTGGTTTCAGAGTCAGGGTACATGTCTTTGGTTCTGGTTGCAGGGCCAAAGTGTGTTTCTTTGGCTGGCCCCTTTTCTCTACAATCAGGACTTTAGTATGCCTTTGGGAGAATAAATTCTCTGTGCAACACCTGTCCTTCCTATGGTGGCCAAGGTGCCCTAGGATGTTTGCTCAAAACTCTCCCAGACAGCCCAAATGTTAAAACATTGGTCAATCCCAGGCAATCTATGACAGTCACCAGTCACTACTACTACCCCACCATGTCTCAAACAATCTTCTTACCTCAAGCCCTGCCTGTACCTCAGGCTCCCAGCATAAGGCAGAACCCACAATACTGTATTTGTTGGTGGTTGCTGTTCTTGATCTTATTTGCCAGTGTGTTAGCAAAACCTTCTAGATTAATTGAGCAGTTTAAGACCAAACCAGGTGACACTGAATCTAGCCATGCCACTCAGCATTGAAGTGGGGGGCAGAGTAATCTTAACTTCCCCTGATGACTGTCATTGTCTTGCCTTTGAAACAAAAGTGTAGTCTCTGTTTTGCAGCAGGGTTCTTAAGAGACACCCTGAATGGTGTCTACAAAGCTTGTTGCTTTCATTATGACTACTGAAAAGTTGTTGTCTGTCCTCATACCCTAGACAGAGAGACGGGGGGGGGGTGTTGGAAGGGAGGGAGGAAGAAAAGGAGAGAGGGAAGAAGAGATGGGGGAAGAATTATCAACACTTCCAGGCACTAGTGGCCAGACACGGAAAACACCAGAATCTTCTAGAAGGAACAGTCTACATCAGATGCTATGATGACTTCTTGAGACTCCAAAGAGTGACGTGTCCCCAGGATGCAGGGAGCCCAGCTGAGAGCCACCAGCACACATGCATCAGAACATGCTTTCACAGGTGTTTTGCTGTCATGTAAGATAGGATTGAACCCAGTGTGAAGGATGGATAGGCACTTCCTAAGTTTGGACACATTATTTCTGACCACTTCTCTGCAAACATGCAGAATATCGTGGCAGAGAAGAGTCATTCCGACTCAGAGCACCTTTTTGCTTTTGATAAAAGGGTTGAATAGCTACTTCTAAACTTAACCCAGAATTTCATTAGGTCATAATTTCATCACCTCCAGAGCATGCTGGGCTTTTGTGTCCACATATTTAGATGATGAATGCCCCTCCTCTGAGCCCATCCAACCTTACCACTCCAAAGTCATCCATAAGTCCACTCTGGGGGAGCTGGAGTGTGAACTCCCAGTGTGTACTTCTCATTTCCTTGCTCTGGGAAGAATTTACCCCTCATAGTTCTGATTCAGAACAGTGGGGAGAAAAAAAGCTAAGTTTTTTTTCTTTAATCTCAAGAACCTTTTCCTAAGAGGAAGTAAGAGTAGTATTTTACCAAAATTACCTTGTATTTTTAACATAATTTAACATTCTACTGTATTGTGAAAAGAAATTTTCTTCTCTGAAACAAAAATCTGGGCCACTTTAATGGCTGTCTAATGACATAAAAGATGTGTTTTCAGAAGCAATGTGACTGTGGCTAGCAGGACCCCTGAGAGCTGGAACAGGGTTGGGAAGATGGGTGATTATGAAGTGAGTATCCACCCCAAGTGAGGTTCCACCTCATCCATAGATTCCATGAGCTTGCTTCTTAACTGATGCTCAGCCCGGTTTCTGCCCCTAGCCATCTCGCCTGTAAGATCACACCACAGGACTGAGGTGACCAGAGCTAGTCAGCAATCCCAGGACAGGAAGCAATTGGAGAGCAGTTGCTAATGTTAGCATTGACTTTGTGTCAGGTCCTCAGTCCAAGCCAGGATCCAGCAACAGGCAAGGCAGCTTTGAAGAAGAACATGGCGCTGCATTTCAGTCCAGCCCTACCCCCTTCCAGCAGCATGAACTTGGCCAATAACATGAACTGGCAAGAGTGAAGATAGTGTAAAGAGAGACATGTATGCCCCACACATTGGCACCATTGAAGCGATGTACTGCAAGGAATATCACAATTCAGGGAGGGAAAGGCTAAAGTCTCGGTGCCAGTCAGAAGAGGGTCTGGTTCCAGGGAAGGAGATTTCACTGAATTCTGACAAGTTACCAGACCAACTTGCAGGGGAAACTGAAGTCAAGGCAATGATGGATCAGGAATGGGTGTGGCTCCACCTTGACCAGGACTGCCTAATTATGCACACCTCTTGGTTTCTATTGAACCTAGACCTCATGTCAAGACCTCAGAGATTGGCTTGTGGCTCGCTGGACATCATTATTTGTTCCTTTTCCCCATGTGACCACTTTGACACGTCTCCTTCCTGTCTGAGCCTATGTATTCGAAACTGCCAGGGACCAGGCTCTGACCCTTAAGGACTCCAGTGACAACCTGACTCCAGCTTGACTTTTGTCATCTGTCAAAAGGAACTAAACAGACCAGTGAATGGCCCCAAAGATCTGGCTCTGTAACCGACAGAGTAAATCCTCGTTTGTATAAGCTCCTTCCTTCCTCTCTCTCCCTAACCTGGCCTTGTAACACCCTCCCTCTGCACAGCCAATATCTGGTAGTATGACTTCCAGTACCAGAACTAGGTAAGGGAGGTGGTGAGGAAGCATGTGTGTCTTAGCTCTACCTCCTAGAAGTCAGTACCCTCAGGGAGAAGGGCTATCCCAGCTATATGCTCCAGGCAGGGTTCTCTGTATAAGGCTGGAAGTCCAAGATCAAGGGATTGGTGGATTTGGTGGAGGCTGTTCTCTGCTTTCAAGATGGCGCCCTCAGTGTCTTCTCATGTGGAAGAAGGTAGAAGGATGAGAGGAGCCTGCCTATCTCCCTTCGTCCCAGTGTGAGGTTTCTAATCCCACATGTTATGGATCCACCCTCATGGCTTAATCACCCCCATAAAGGCCACACTACATTGTGGGTTCAGCCCCAACACATTGGTTTGCAGAACTGTATCAGGGACCCAATAGCGCTTTTTATCTGGGGGTTCTGCCGTAGACTCAGTGCCCAAGAAATGGAGTCTCTCACCCTACTTTTCTACACTTTTGCCACTGAGACTCACAAAGAAGGGGACAAGTGTCCTTTCCCCAGATGTTGTGGGTGCTATGGGTTAACTGAAGTCTGTAAAACAGAATAATCCAAGTGACCTCATGTTGTCCTTTGGGAAATGAAGACAAGCACATAGCCGCTCAGAGGGTGGTAAGAGATCCCAGGTAGCTCCAGGAGTTAGAGTAGAGAGCTTCAGGACACCCTTGTTCTCAGCAAACACCCATTGCCTATCCACAACGCCCTGTGTTCTGGGGATGCAAGAAGACCAGCAGTGCCCACCCTCACATAGCGTACCCTCAGTGGGGAGAGAATGAATTAACAGTCTGCTCTGTGCTCTGTGCTGCATAATGGTGTGTGATCAGAGAATAGCCAATCAGAACTGGGAGGCACCCTCGCAAAGCAGGATCCAGGACAATCTGAGGAAGGGCCTGTAGGCAGAGATGGTGAAAGTGAGAAAGCAGGCTGTGCTGGTGGCTTTGAAAGTGTTCCAGGGAGACAGATGGCGGCATGTGCAAAGACCCTGGGG